ACATTCCAGCCATGATATTTGCATACAAAGTGAGCAATAATATCAGTTGTTGCAGTTTGTGTTGACTGTTGAAGCCTGTATGGAGTATTGTAGCAATTTCAGTTTCTTATGAAATTGTAAATTTTTCAGTTGTTCATATTGCATTGTATTATTATTCTTCATTTAAGTCAAAGGATGAAGAACTTCGTGGAGATGCTGTTGCTGCAGAAAACAGTCGCTGTGTATCAATGGTCTTTAATATTGGTGGAATGATAGTTGGTGGTGTTGTGATAACTGCTATTTCATATGTTGCACTTACACTGACCAGCTATAAGTAAAAAAAAGACAATAATTGTGTATTGATTCACTTAAGTTCAGTCAGTGTGTTTTTATCAATAATAATTTTAATTATGATCTGGGGTGTGGCTGAATTGTAGCCACGCCTTTTTGCAGAATGAGCTGAGCCCCACCCTTGTATGATGCGCGATTATGTCTGCGGAAGAAAGTAAATGCTTTATAGCTCATTTTAATCCATCATTGTTTTTATCTTTCAATAGGAGCATCCCTTTTGATACCCAGAGGAAGTGAACATGAGCCAAATACAGAAGTAAATCTTGATGTAGCTTGTAAAGTTGCAATAGAAAGGAGAATAAATCTATAGCTACTATTACTAACTTGCAATCAATAGTCAATGTATAGCTCTCTAAAACTCCAGCAGATGTGTGTCTACACACACACACATAGCATGACTGTGCCATGATAAAATCCCTACCTTCTTGATGATAGATGAGCAATCATCAGACCCACTGAGCTATCATAGCACACCCTATCATAGCACTTTATTCTGATAAAGAATATGATTAAGTAAAATTTAACAGGGAATCTTATTAAACTATTCATAGAGTCTTACTCATACTATTATGTAAGTTTATGCCATTTTTATAGCTACAATGAATGCTTGTATCTGAAGGTGACAGTGACTCTGACCAAATTTTGCCAAAAATTAAAGGTAGAGATTTTTATAATACTTTTTGATGCATATACATGTACCGGTACTTAGTTTGTCTAAAAAGTTTGAGTTGATTTCAATCACAATTGGATTTTTTTACAAATTTTTTAATTTACTCAAAAATTGTGTAAAAATCCCTGTTATAGTACAGGAACTAGGCCAAATTTTGCCAAAAATGGAAAGTAGAGAATTTTTCATTTTTATAATGTTTTCTGATGCATATACATCTACTTATGCTGTGTAGAAAGTTTGAGCTGATTCCAATCAAAATTGGATTTTTTATGAATTTTTAAAGTCGCTCCAAAATTGGGTCAAAGTCCCTGTACTATACAGGGACTTTGGCCAAATTTTGCCAAAAATATAAAGTTGAGAATTTTCCATTTTTATAATATTTCCTGATGCATATACATGTACTTATGTTGTATAGAAAGTTTAAGCTGATTCCGATCAAAATTGGATTTTTTATGAATTTTTAAAGTCGCTCCAAAATCAGACCAAAGTCCCTGTACTTGGAACTTTGACTAAATTTTGCCAAAAATGAAAAGTAGAAAATTCTTCATTTTATAATATTTTCTGATGCATATACATGTACTTATAAATCCAATTCTTTCTACACGTGTATAAAGAATTGGATTTCTTATGAACTTTTAAAGTTGTGTCCAAGGACTGCACTGTACTATATAGTACATACATGTAGTTTGTTATGAGAGAATTCTCAGCTAATGATTGATAGTTATTTTAAACATTCTTTTTATTCCTGTGGTTAGCTAATAGTACTACAGGGTCATACCCTTTAATAACTTGGCCTTAGCCCTTAAAAGTCAACCAGCCATATATAAGTTGAGCCAAGTTAGTATACTACTGTAGTGTAGTCTTGAAAATCCTAAAATGAGCTACAATAACACAGAAGGTGCCATTAACTATTAAACTTATTCATTTGCTTTTGCTATTCTAGGTGAAGAAGATTATGATCCATTGTTAGTTGAACATAAAGTAAGGCTGTAAGTTTCATAACATAATGATTGTGGACTTGTTTTCTCATAAGAGTGATGCTGTACCATCACCACCTCAGCCATTGCCTCAGGCTCAGCCCATGAGTCAGTTCA